CTTTCCCTATTTTCTTCCCCCTACTGTCTTTTCTTTCCCCAGCTATACTCAGCCCCAAGCTTCTAACCTCACACTGAAAAACCTAACTGATAAGAAAACACAAGTCCCCATGCTAAACAGGAGTTATGTAGAAAAATTGCTTAAATAGAAGTAAAAGAAGGCTCTCCCTTGCCCTTCTCCAGGTAAGGACCCAGTGACCGGTGAGGTTTTAACCTGATAGGGAGAATTTAATAAACTAACCACCCAACAATATCAATAGCTTTACTGCATGTGCTGAAATTGTGCACAATGCCTCAACGGAACAACCTTAGAGACACAGAGAAGGGAAAGCTTTTGTGGGTTTGCCACTTATAGAACAGATGGCCATGTTTTCTTAGTCCAGTGATATTGGGAGATCATAAAATAAAATGTCAATGGTAAGATAGGGGACAGTGGGCTTAGCAAATATAGATGAACCTAGAGCAAACTCTGTAGATAAAAAATGACTTTACTAGTCCAGGGGAAGTGGAGAAACCACAAGTTTGGAAGCCATAAAGGGCTGGCTGAAACCCTAGCACCATCACTAACAAGTCCTGTGATCTTGGGCAAGTTTCTGAAGTCTCAGGGTGTGCTGGGTTTTGTTTTGCCTTGTTTTGTTTTTTAATCTCTGAGATGAGCATCTGATTTATGACTGCTACAAAAATGAGAAATAATGTCTAAAAGACAGACAAAGAAAATGCCAATATTTGGTAAGGTTTGGGGGAAATGAATACTTTCAGATGGTAATGCTGTATAAGTTGAAACAGTCTTTTTTTTTCTTTTTTGCGGTACGCGGGCCTCTCACTGTTGTGGCCTCTCCCATTGCGGAGCACAGGCTCCGGACGCGCAGGCTCAGCGGCCATGGCTCACGGGCCCAGCCGCTCCGCGGCATGTGGGATCTTCCCGGACCGGGGCATGAACCCGTGTCCCCTGCATCGGCAGGCATACTCTCCACCACTGTGCCACCAGGGAAGCCCTGAAACAGTCTTTTTAAAGGACAATTAGCAATACCCTTTAAACCAACATTCTGCTTCTAGAAGTTTATCCTAAGGAAATAATAGAGCACGTGTGCAAAAATGTCAAGGAGATGTACTGAAGGACTGTTTGTAATGGCCCTAAGCTAGAAAGAAACTAGAAGTCTACCAGCATGAAACTGGTTTAACAAATGCTGGTTTACCAGAATTAAACTGGTTTACATACAATGGAATACTATGCAATGTTAAAAAGGATATGAGAGGGCTTCCCTGGTGGCGCAGTGGTTGAGAGTCCGCCTGCCGATGCAGGGGACACGGGTTTGTGCCCCGGTCCGGGAGGATCCCACGTGCCGCGGAGCGGCTGGGCCCATGAGCCATGGCCGCTGGGCCTGCACGTCCAGAGTCTGTGCTCCGCAGCGGGAGAGGCCACAACAGTGAGAGGCCCAAGTACCGCAAAAAAAAAAAAAAAAAAAAAAGGATATGAGAAATCTCTATGTATTTGACAAGAAAAGGTATGCAGGATGTATTAAGTGAAAAATAGATTACTGAATAATATGTATAATATGGAGCCGATGTACTTAAAAATTTTACATGTGTTTGTGTGCGTATACCTACATATACTTACTAGAGGTACACAGATCAAACATTAATAGCGGTTATGTCTGATACTCAGAATTAAGAGGAAATTTCACTTTATCTTTTTGTATTTTAGCAATCATGGCTTAACAGAATTTTAAAAACACACAAAATAATATATGTAATATGTCCATCTCAGTTCAGGGCACTTAGCACTTACTAAAAGTGCTTAATAAACTGTAGTTATTATCATCATCACCCAATTGAAATCTATTTGGAAGTCCAAAATAATATGAATACTTGGTTTGATTATTTTAAACTTCTATTAGATGAAGGTCAAGTTATCAGGATGCTTTTCTCTTTTACTAGCAAATGAACCACATCTGGGCAAAAGCAGGCAACTAGCTCTCCTAAGGACCTGCAGGGCTGTTGGGAGCCTCACTTACCTCACCTGTTTAATTACCATCAAGGATAAACCTGCCATCAGGGAGCACAATGGAAAAAACACTGATTATTTTAAATTCCTATCCAAATCTACCAGGTCTCCCATTTTAAACAGCTAATTCTCACCACCTCACCAGTGTTTTAAGAAACATACTGTCACCTCAGAAATTAATTTGCTCCTCAACAGCTTTTGCTGGAGAGCTGACTTTTACATAGGGAAGGCTGGGCATGAGCTGCTCCATCTGGCTGAGCTGGGCAGAATGCTTGCAGGTGCACACAGACAGCATGTCGGCTGAGTCATGAGGTGTTGCCATATAAAGGAGGTTTCCATCAGGCCACTGCCCTGCTCTCTACCTTCAGGATCGCCCCTGCACACAAATTCCAAGCTCCTCAGGGAAGACTGAGTCCTCCTTAGCTGTCTATGCAGCCCCACCTCCCGGAGTTCTTAAGTACTACAGTAAGAGACTGAGTCTCAGCCCTCACTTCAAGGAGGACTCAAGACAAGCAAAAAATACACTACTTGAAAATGATGGGATCAAGTGCTGATGTTTTAAGACCGGTGAGAGGGATCTTAAATCCCTTAAATCTTATGGTTGAAATGACTAGGTGTTTTTTTTTTTCTTCCTTTCTTTGTAGGGGTGGGGAATGTCATCTGTACAGTATCTAGATTTATTAAATGGGCCATAAAACAAGATCCTAGTAACCTTTCTTCTTCCTGCTGCTAGATATTTGGTTTAACATGGCTCATTACCATGGCTAGATTAATGTTTAACATGGCCTGGTTATAGTTCTATTTCAGGTATAAATGTTATATCTCTTAAAAAATATAGTCAAGATGATGAAGCTGATGAAGTAAGAGGTGTTTAAATTCAAATAAGCTAATTTGATGGATAACTAGAAATGCCAATGAATACATTTTAAGAGTTTAACTGTTTTTTATTTTGAGAACTTAAAAAATGTAGATAAAAGAAAGGCAACTCTAAAAATGCAACATTCTGTACTTGAATTATCAATCAATTATAAAGAACGAATATAAAGAAAAGCTGGTCTTACTCTGAGTGTCAGGTTGTCCCATCATGAGTCTGTGTTCTTTGCTCCTCCCATTCTGGAGCTTCAAATATAAAAAATAAGGTCACACTCCCTGTTCATTTTTCAGAGACATTATATTACACCTCTTTAAATATCTCGATAGGATTCTTACCCAGGAAAAAATAAAAATATCACATTCACTGTTAAATTATCTAAAGAAGGCTAGCAAGAGCCATTAACTCCATAAATCCATATTCTATGGCCAAGGTAGCAATTCAAAGGGAAAATACAATGAATGTGTAAATATGCTCAACTAGCATTTAGAATATGGTATAGGAGAGTTGCTACAATAGCTCCAAGTTAGAACAAGCTGTTGGAACATGCAATTGACATTCAACCTGATCTTTAACCCTGAGGCAAGGTACAGTATGGTTAAGAGTGGGAGTGGGATTCTGCCACTTACTAGCTATGCAACTTTGAGCAAGTTCTTTAACTATATGTCTGTTTCTTCATCTTCAAAATGAGGATAATTATAGTACTTACCTGATAATTTTTTTGAAGATTAAATGTACACAAAGCACTCAGCACAGTGCCTTTTAAGCACACGGAAGTGCTTAATAAATGTCCAGTTATTATTTTTCTATAATGCCTAGCTACACATAAGCCACATGTGGGAGTGGTTCTTGAAAACTAGCTACCCTTTCTGAGGGCCAGAATGGGATGAATCAGAGAATGAAAGATTGAACAGACCCTTTCTCTTCTCAGATGACAGGTCCTGTGTAAGGTACACATAGCACACACTGTCAACCATCTGATACGCTCAGCTTTCAAATGACAGTTCTCCTCTGAAGCTATCCTAGCCAAAAGAGAGAAGTACACTATTTATTAAGCTGTGTCTGTAGCTAAGTCTGTGCATCTAAATGAAAGAAAAACATATAAGTTGCTTTTATCACTAATAACCAATGACTTAGCCAGAGGATAATGATATTAGATAGAATTTGGAACCCCACATAGGTGTGCATTCACTTTTACATACTATTAAAGAGATATAACATGAAACCAAAGCTAGATTTATTGCAGATAAATATAAAAAGCATTATATTACAGAGTCACAACTTTTTTTTTTGGCTGCACGCACGGCTTGAGGGATCTTAGTTCCCCAACCAGGGATCAAACCCGTGCCCTCTGCAGTGGAAGCACGGAGTCCTAACCACTGGACCGCCAAGGAATTCCCACAACTTCTTTATTCTATAGTATGTTGGTATCATGTGTTATTTAATGCCACCGTAATTTTTAAAGCACTTTTGCAGCCTTGTATGAGTTAACATCCAGGTATTCAGTTCCCAAATCTTGTGAGGAATTCACTGAATCCATATGCCACAGTGCCTGCTAACTAAATGAATGAATGATCAGGGTCACAGATTAATATAGCAAATTTAAAGAAAAATTTACACACAGAGCATGTGGGTTCCTAATAGGCTACATGGACGGTGAATACAATTACTTGCATTAACAAAATAGAAAGACAATAACAAAAATATGGCAGGCTTTTAACTAAGAATGACAGTATAATTTATGTTAGATAGACAATAGCAGAGAAAGCCCAGAAAATCTGGATCTGAATCCTAAATCAGTTTTCTCTCATGATTTGGTATCACAGAGATCAGAAGGACAAAAAAAAGCATATTTAATTCTTGAAAAACATGACATATATCTAAGCTATGACATGATAACATGTAGTTTATTAAATACACCATGGTGTAGAGAAAGGAGTATGGACTGGCCCAGGTCTGGCGGTAGCTAGCAGTGGGCAGTCACTTAATGTTCCTTAGGCCTAAATGTCCTTATTTATTTAATGAGGGTGTTGGACAGTATAATGCTTACCATCCATCTGAGCTCTGAAATTCTATTGCTTAGTGGTATCTCTTACAGATTATATTCTCCACAAAACTATTTTTATTACAGGTATAGTCAATATGTTCATCACACACTTTTATGAAAGTGCTTATGGTTTAATCTCAGATTATAAACTGTGGTCTAAGTCCTGACTACAAATTCCACATATCCTTATATGGAATTAGGATGAGGATGAGATTACACTAAGGTTAACTTCTCAAGATAAAAGATTAACCAAAGCACAATTCTGATGATAACCTTGCACCATTGACTAACACAACAACCAGAAGTGACTACATATTATTTATGGTCACAAATCAATCACTCAGTAACATCACTCAATAACAAAAACACGTTTGTTGAAATCATTAAAATAAGCTCAATGAAAAGCAAATGCACAGAGAGGTAAATACAAGGATATTTATTTTGAAGTATTGTTTTATAACAAAAGATTGGGAATAATCTAAAAGTCCACATATACAAGAAAAGGCTAAGCATATTGATACATCTAGAAAGTGAACTATGTTCCATCATTAAAAACAATGATTAAATAAAGGCAGTCCCGTATGATTCATACGAAACAATATCTAAGAATTCTCAGATCAGTAAGTGGACATAGTGTGTTAGCATTTGTACAGAAGAAAAAAATACAAATTAAATATGATATGTGCATAGACTATCTCTGGATAGAAGAAAATGGTTAACAATAGCTGCCTCTGGGGAAAGGAACTGGGGTAAGAGGAAATATACTTTAAAAATTCTTTTAGCACATTTTGAATTCTTTGTCCATGGGCATGTCCTACCTATTTTTACTTAAGAAGCTAAATTTTCAAAGGAACAAGTGAACAATGAAAAAAATGTTTGTATATGTAGATACACACACAGGAAAACAAAAAGACTAGAAGGGAATAACTGTTAACACGGAGGTGATTTATTTTCTTCCCTTTATATATACTTCTCTGTATTTTCCAAATTATTTCAATGAACACATGTCAGCTTTGATATTATAAGAATTTATACATATTTTAAAACAAATGCACATTTCTGTCACAATTTTTTTCAGATATTAAACAAAGTACATGCTGGGAGAATATGTACATTTTTATCAAAGTTCTTAAATTGTTTCATGCTGGGATTCCACACATTTGCTCCAGACTCACCCTTAGGTTATATGAAGGATCCTTAATACTCAAGTTTGGCAGAGATGCCTGGAGAGCATTTACATAATTTGTTTCCACTCCTTGAGCTGCAAGCAGAGAACAGGCTCTGAGTTAAGATTTACAAATTATCATCAAACGAATCTTCAATAGTGGCTCAGTTCATGGTCAATCATGATCTTTCAAATTACCCTAAACTTTCCAGCCCCCTTACTGAATTCAAAATATCAGATCAGATGACTCTTCTATCAATGTCATTAAGAACAGACTAAAAATTCTACTCCTGTTCTTGATCTTGAATCAGCCATTGGGGGGGTGGGGGGCAGGGCTGTGTGTAGATCACTGAGTATCAGCCATGCCCTGTGGTGGTAGTAGACTGCTAGCAGAGCCCATGCTGAGTGTGAGTCTAAAAGACAACGGGTAGGGATGCCGTGAGAGAGAAGGCCAGGCTGAGCTGGTCCCCTTTATGGGAGGAGGGGCTCTCAGCAGAAAAGATGCCCCTTTGCATGAGGAGGTTTTGTGCAACTGGAGACATATGCAGGGCAGTTATAGGACCCCAGAGATAGGATATCATCCCAAGTCAGGCCAAACTCTGGAGCAAGGCAGCAGGGCTCAGCATAGACTCAAAAGCCCTGAGTGCCCACAGCGCCACCAGCCAGTACAGAAAATGGGGGTGCAGACTCTTTCCTGAAGACCAAAATGTTAAGAACTGCTTGGCGGCATTTTGCAGAGGGCCAAGACTGTGTGGTCAGGGGTGCTGGGTGATGAAGTTAGCAGATGGGGGGTATGGAGGATATAAAGGGTTCTGATCTCTAGCCACAGGCTGATGGGAGCTGTGGACCTTCGGGTTCTGTTCCATCCACCTGTCCAACACATGGGTCTCTACCAATGAAACCCACTGTGCACTGCTTACCAGACTGCTTGTATTTCTGGATTTTTGTCTTCAGGTCTATTCTGTGGATGTTCCTTAGGCATTTTTCTAATAAATCCAAGTGATCTGGAGCAACCAGGTTTAGCTTCTCCAATTCAATCACAAGATCCAAGAAACTCTAAGAGAACCACCAACAAAAAACAAATGTAAGTAGGGCTGACTATTAGGCCTCATATGCAAACCTCAGGCTGTGTAATTTATTAGAGCAAGAAAATGTGACCAGAGGAGCCCTTTCAGTGACCTTCAGTGATCCTAAACCAGACCTCTCTGTTTTATAGTCCCTCCAAAGCCATGAGCAAATTACACTCCTGGAATTTACTCAGAAAAGAGGTAAGTCTTTGGGGGGCCAACCTGTACCTAGGTTGGGCCATTTGTGTCATGAAGGATTGAGAAAGCAGGCCTGAAAATAAAATCCTCCCAAGTTCAGTCTCTTCCCAAAAGCCAGGCTGATGTTATACTGAAAAACTCTGAGGGCTTTACTGCAAAAAGGAAGTGAGAAGGTAGCTGGGGAAATGTTTTTACTAGAAAAATTCTAATGATACAGTTTTGAAGTCCCTAAAATATTTTAATCAATTCTGGAAATTCCAACTCATTCTGACACAGCAGACATGAAGTGACAAAATTACAGGGTTAGGGTATTTTGCTACTTATTCACCCTGGGCCATAGGGATTGTGAAAGAACTATATTTCAGAAATAGGCACTGCTTTTGGTGTTATTTCCTTTCTGTTTAACATTTGGTTACTAATGTGCTATCTTTATTTTTAAATTAATAATGATAATTAAATCTACATAAATGATTGGGAAATAAGTTGATTAGGGGACACCAAAAAAGGAGTTGTATTTTTTCATTTTCCTTCCGATTTTGCATTTGATGGTGGGGGCATACGGTCACCCTATATTTCCAAATTTCAGAAATGAAACAACAATCATTAAGGAACATGAGGAAATTCTTAAGCAATGATTTACCAGAGTCCTCAGAAGCAGGTCCTTGCTGGACATACTGTCACATACTAGAGACCCGAGCTTTCCCTGGCCTGTCCATAGGTCAGAGGTACCATATAAGGCCAGCTGGAATTTATATATTTTTCCAGCCATCACAGCATCCCTAAGATCTTCACCCCTACCTCATTTTCAACCCCAAATCTGTACTTCTGCCATTCCCTGGATACATCAGTCTCAAGGACCTACCCCTGCCCAGCTACCCTGCAGCCTAATGACTCCACACTGACCCTGAGCTCGCTGCGGAGAAATAGATGACAGTCAGAGAGCAAGATGGGAGTGGACCGGCATTTCCTCCTGTTTCTACTCAGCATGAGCAGAAGGGACTCCCTAACCCTCCCAGATGATCTGTCAAACCAGGGAGAGAAGCTGATGTATAAGCCAGGCCTATGAATTTTACACAAATAAAGGATAAAATACAAAGATGAAAGAAACACCCAGGGCCACACCAGCCGATATCACTCTATTGCCTCTCAATTTATGAACCAATTTTCTTCCCATCAATGTTACCATGAAAAATAAAACCCATACACTTCCCCCTTCCCACCTTCACCCCCGACTTGGTCCTCCCTGCTTAAGTACCTGTTTCCCTCTCTTCACACCACAGAGAGCACCCCTCCAACTTCCGATAGGCTCTTGGGAACATGAACGAAGAAAAAGAAAGAAAACTCACCTTATCCTTGGCTATCTTGCCTCGGCCCATATAATCTCTCATGAGGAATATTAATGAGGACACATCAGATTTATCCAAACCCTCACCAATCTCCATCAACAGCACCCTGTAAACCAGATACGTTTCTTTAGTAAATTCAGAGATCAGTCCTACTGAGAACACCAAGAGCCTAGGCCTCCTCTATGCCAATAATTGGTTAAAAGATTAATTCTTGCCCCCATTTGAATGCGCCCCCAAGAAAACAGAAAGCTTAGATCACCCCAGGAGGAGATCTTAAGGGAAGTCAAAAACCAAATTTATCCTTTCCCCAGTTTTCAATAGGAGATGGTACCTCTTTTTACAACTGCTATGAAAAGAACAAGAGAATAAAAACTTCCCCAAAGAATCCCCTAGCTCCCCCAGAAGTAATAATGAAATAAATGAAGAACCTAAATGACTAAGACGAAAGACGTAAATAGAATTCAAAGTGATCTTGTCTTCTCTGTTTAACAAACCCCCAGTGATACTGATGCTGCTAATCCAGGGACAATACTTTGAGTCACAAGATTGTGAAGCAAAGTAACACCTGGGCTATTGGCCCGCGCCCGAACTCAATGGTTAAAAGGCATCTAGATCCCGGGGATTGTGACTGTAAATATCTCTGTCTAGAAAGCCCCTCCTGACTTAGCCACCTCTGTTCCAATTGGAGTTACCATCATGCTTTATCAGGGCTCCCAAGGACACCTCATGATTGTCATTATTACCTTGACATTGCCGTCATTACTTAGAAGCCTGTTTTCCCAATTAGACTCTAATATTCTTGCGGATGGAAGAGTCTTCATTCGTTTTGCTTTGCGCTTACCCAACACCTGGCATAAGTCAACCCACAATAAAGCCCACTCAACAGAAGAATAAATGAATCTAGCACTCCCGGGCCTCTCTACTCAGAGGCCCAAAGGAACCACCTCCATTCACCACAGCAAGGAAACAAGAGATGGAGAGAGTCCCCTGACTTATTCACAAAAACCCAGTCAGTGCCTGCCGAAAAGCTTTAAGAAGATTACGACACCATGATGGTTGGAGAGGTGGAAGATGATCAAGAATAACAGCAACAACAATAATAAACCCTTATATTTGTAGACTGCTGCCCAGTTTTAAAAAGTATTTCACATAATTTAAAATAATAATAATTTTTTAAAAGTACTTCACAAACTAAATTATCACAATCGATCCTCACAAACACACTTGTGAAATCAGATATTATTATTTTTAGCTTCACAAGTAGAAAAACGAAGGCCCAGCTGATGTCAGTGGCTGGCTCAGCCTACGTGGCTTGTAACTGACAGTTCCGAGGCTTCAAACAGGACTTTAGACCTCAAATCTCATATACGTTCCAAGGGCCACACTGCTTGCAACTCTCTTTAATATAGTTTTTAATCATGTACGTCACCTCCAAATATATATTATCAATATAACTAAAGGCTGGTGGTCTGGAGAAAAAGGAATCACTGATTTAAGGTTACAAATTATCTTTCTTTCCCCAGAAACGCAGCCTTTCCGCTGGTTTCTGTGCTCCTCTGAACCTCCAAGAGAATATTACGTGAACAGGAGGAAGGAACAACTCAAAGGCTGTCTGAACTAGAGGGGACTCCAGTGGCCGATCCTCTCCTGAACCGAAGGGGGTCTAGAGATGGTTAATTGAAGAAACGTTCAATCTGGGCTCCCCAGAGCCTCCGGGAACAGGGACCTCACAGAAAGCAAGCCCACCCCCACTAATTTCCTCAGCAGGGGAAAGACCGGAGGGGGTTCAAGAAGGATCACAGAGCTCTATAAAGGTCAGGAAGATTGCTGTCAGGTTTGTTATTTCCTTTCTCGGTAACCGGAAATTACCAGGCTCTGACATCACAGGCTAGCAAAGAACACAGCAAATCTCACAATCAGAGAGGTCTGCAAGAGTACTAGCTCTTAGTCACTCCTCTCTCTCTCATTCTACCCATCAGGCAAACACATACCATCCATCCCTTCCACTTTCATTCTGATCTACCCAATTACTTTAAGCAGACATGTCCTAAGAATTCAGAGTTCAGAGGAATGAAGTAACATCGATGTGGCAAGAGGATCAGTGGGTAGAGAAAGTAATGAGGCTGCTTTTCTTACTGTCCTCATTTCTGTGATTCTGAAGTCTAGACCTCCTCCCTCCCTCCCACCAGTCCAGCCTCAGGAGGGGCTGATGAATTACCTATAGTCCGAAATAAGATGTGGGTGCCTGTGCAGGAGGGCCTCCGCTGTCGGTCTGTCCATCTTCAAGACCCTCTTGAGCAAGTCAAACCGCCTTACTCTGTATAGCAGCTCAGCCAAGCTCACAGAAGACAGTTTTCCTCTCTCTCTTAAAACATCCAGAAGGTCCCTGACATTAAGTGGAACCACATCTGCAGCAATGTCTCGGCACAGAAAAAGAAGCATCTCCTTCTCATCTTCATCAAGTGCTTCTTCCACCTGATGGATGGCCTCAGCAGACATCCTGTACAGTGTCATTCCAAGGAACAGCAGTAAGAAAAGTCTAGTCCAGTCAACAGAAGGCCATGAAGCTACCGATTGCATTTCTGATGGTTTTCTTCATTTCTTTCAGAATCCTTTCCAATGGAGGAGTTCTGTGGTTAAAAGGGAATTTTTAAAAATCCTTCTATCAAAGTAACTTTTGCCTAAAACTCTAGGTATAGGCTCTTGCTTTCTCGATGGTCTCTCTAATCTAGCAGATTAAATTCATATTGTTAAGTCTACAGAAATCGATCCCTCTCAGTAGACAAAGAGACTGACCCCAAATTCAAGACAGACAAAGAAGATAACCTACGTTTTAAAGGAAATGAGACCAGAGACAAATTATTTCCCAAAAACCCCATGTGCTTTATCAGAACTTATCAGAACGTAAAGTGTGGTAAGGGGGAAATCACTGCTAGGGAATTAATGATGAAGTGGCAAATGACTGACCTTGGTGGAAGGCAGAGGAAAAGCCCAATGACTAAGCTGCTTTCTGGATGAGAGAAACTGAGGTCACAGGGGTTAACTCCTTTTCGGTGACCTCCCGGTAGGCTTGAACAAATACAAATCTTAGCAAAGGGGACCCTCTGCAAGGTGTCAAAAATGATGGGAGAAAACAGGTTTCTGTCCCTACCCCATCCCTTTTTTCCAGTTGTTCTACTTTGAAACCCTTCATTCACACCTGCTGCCATCCTCCCAAAACCCAGGCCCTTTACACAGCATCATCATGAATGCTCATAGGACCTGCCACCATGGCTGAACTTAGGCCTTGTCAAGTTTTGATCACCTCTTTGGACCTTGAGCCCCTTGGAAGAGTCAGAAGTCTGCACTCACAACACACTGCTGGACAGCAATTACCACTAGAGTTCCTGATGGTATCAGTGGAAGGAAGGAGGTTGAGCAGATCTGCAGAAAGATCTGGGAATTGGGTGGGAATGGTGGGGAGTTCATGCCATGAGTCTATTCTTAACTTCTTGCATTGGAACTCAACCTATTTTCTTTCAAAATTTAAGTTGCAAATGGGGGTCACTGTCTACTCTAAAGTTTCATAGCTATATTTTATGTTAAATAAGCTCTTATGTTCTAGGAGAGTACCCTGTTTCTATCAGACAGCATTTCGGGTTAAAAGCTAATCTTAGCAAAAGATAACTGGAAAACAACCTAACTGTAAGTTGCTAACTGTTGCTACATATTTGTGTACAAGCATATTTATGTATTTATATAGCAGGATTTACTCAAAGGAACACTGAATCTATTTTATATATTTATATACAATCTCAGTTCACAAAAGATGAGGCCAGGGAAGCCCTCGGCAGGCGGACTCTCCACCACTGCGCCACCAGGGAAGCCCTAGATAATGTTTTAAAAAATATTATCGGGCTTCCCTGGTGGCGCAGTGGTGGAGAGTCCGCCTGCCGATGCAGGGGACGCGGGTTCGTGCCCCGGTCCGGGAAGATCCCACATGCCGCGGAGCGGCTGGGCCCGTGAGCAATGGCCGCTGAGCCTGCGCGTCCGGAGCCTGTGCTCCGCAGCGGGCGGGGCCGCAACAGTGAGAGGCCCGCGTACCGCACAAAATATATATATATGTATTATCTGCTCAGTTCATTTCCTCCAGCCATTACACCCAAGGCTGCTTTCTGCCAGTCACGCACAATCAGCAAGAGAACAGGCATGCTGTCTTCCCTCTGTACTAACAAAGGTATAGTTTGGCAGTAAAATCCAAATTACTCGGTGGTAGCATCTGGCATAGTCAAAGAAAATATCAAAAGGAAAACTACAGATCCTGTGCTGACCCAGGCCAACCAGATGCAGCAAAATACCAGTGCTTATATGTTGGGGTGGTGTTGGGGACAGTTAATTGGGACTAGAGGTGATAGGCACTTGAGAGAGGGGAGCATGAAAGGAAGAAGTAGGGTTACAGTCCAAATAATCACTACTTTGTTGGGGTTTCTTTTGAGCCCAAACCAAGAAATTAACATAAAAATTACTCTCAGACTAAGGAAGCCCATAGGGTCTTTTTTTTTTTTTGAATACAAATTTTTTTGAGGTGCTTTTTAACATTTCAGACACCATAAATAGCAAAAAATAAATATTGCAAAAACAATACAAAAAGATTTAAAATATATAATTTACATATAACCATCATGTAAGTATATGTCTTCGTTACATACATTTTATTCATAATTTTGTTTATAGCTTTATTTTATTATCTGTTATGGTTCCAGTAATATGTTATATCCTTTATAAAAGCCTTGCAATATTTTTACTAGAAGTCAAGCCCATAAAGTCTTGAGAGGCAAACTCCAAACCACCCTATAAGGTCAACTTCCCAACCCAGGGGATATGAAACATCTATTCTGCTGGAGGTGAGCTCATGATTAAAAATCACCATGCATAAACATAAAAATCACCACGACAGTAGACAAAACAAAACTCACATCCTAGGAATCTACATCTGAAAGAGTTTAAAATAAGCATCTTAAAAGTTTCAAGGGACTTCCCTGGTGGCACAGTGGTTAAGAATCCGCCTGCCAATACACGGGACACGGGTTCAATCCCTGGTCCGGGAAGATCCCACATGCCGCGGAGCAACTGAGCCCATGTGCCACAACAACTGAGCCTGCGCTCTAGAGCCTGTGAGCCACAACTACTGAGCCCGTGAGCCACAACTACTGAGCCCGTGTGCCACAACTACTGCCACGCACCTAGAGCCCATGCTCCTAACAAGAGAAATCACCGCAATGAGAAGCCCATGCACCACAACGAAGAGTAGCCCCCACTTGCCACAGCTAGAGAAAGCCCATGCGCAGCAACAAAGACCCAATGCAGCCAAAAAAAAATAAATTAAAAAAAAATTTCAAGAAGATAAGGGCAATTTCTGAAATGTGACAGGCCAAATCAATGGTTCTTAATCAGGGGCAATTTTGCCCCTCAGGGGACATTTGACAATTTTTGGTTAAATTTGAGATATTTTTGGTCATCATAACCAGGTGGTGCTACTGGCATCTAGAGAATAGAAGCTAGGGATGCTGCTGAACATTACACAATGCATATTCCCCTCAACAAAGAATTATCCAACCCTAAATGGCAATAGTGCCAAAATTGAGAAACCCTGCGCGAGACAATCTGAAAAAGAAAAATGGCTATAATACACACTGAAATGCTAAATAAAACATAAAAAACATTTGCTCAAATATATAGTTGAGCATTTAAGAAAGCAAGTAAACTTGTAGGAGGGCAAAAAGAAAAAACAACTCAAAACCACAGTGCTGGTTCTTTAAGATTTGCCATATACAATAGCATTAAAACATGTAGGAATGATTCTAACAAAGATATGCAAGACATTAACAGGAAAAAAACTATAAAATATTATTGGAAAGACATTAATAAAGATCTAGATAAATGGAGAGCTTTACCTTGCTCATGAATAGGGATATTCAATATAGTAAAGACATGAGTTCTCTAAAAACGATGCTCTATGGATTAAAAGCAAGGGACTTATGAGGCAGCAATCTATAAACAGTTCAATAGTACTTATGAGAAAAAGAGAAAAGTCCACTGCAAATATTATACTTAATGGTGACATGTTAGAAGCATTCCTTTAAAAATGAGGCTCAAGACAAGTATATGTATGATCATCCCTTCTATTCAACATTGTACTAGAGTACAGAGCTTAGCACTAAAATAAGAAAAAAAGATTAGTTAGAGTATAAGCATCGGAACCAAAGAAACAACTATCATTCTTCACATGCAATAAGATTTTCTACTTGGATAGGAAACCCAAGTATACCAACAGACAAAATGTTAGAATTCATAAGAGGTTAAGGTTTTGAGATATATGATTAATAAATAAAAGTCAATTACATCTCTGTACATTAGCAAAAAACAGGAAGAAAATGTATATCTCAAAGAAAAACTGGTACTATTTACAACAGCAACAAAACCTGTAAGGTATACAGAATAAATCTAACAAAAGATACATGAGACATTAAAGAAGAAATTATAAAACTTTATTGAAGACTTCAGTTAAGACAGATAATTGAAGAAATGTACAATAATCATGGACAGAAGACTCGGCATCATCAAGATATCAATTCTCAAATGAATTTATAAATTTAAGCCCAATCAAAAATCCAAATCCAAAAACTTTTGCCATGGACTGTGGCAAGCTAATTTTGAACTGATATGAAGGAGAAAGGCCAAGAATAACCAGTATAAGCTTTAAGAACAACCAGTTGGAGGAAGTTGCCTTAGCAGATATCAAGATTTAATACAAATGTATAGTAATATGACAAGGAATAGATAATAAAACAACTAATACACAGATGAGAGCTCAGAAATTAATCCACACACAGATGTCTAGGGTGGTCCTGTAAATCAACAGGGAAAGGACATTAATGTCCAGAAATAGTGCTGAGACAACTGGTTATCCATACATATAGAGAGGATAAACTGGGATCCTTTCCTCACACCATTTACAAGTCAGTTCCACATGTACTAAAGTCCTGGACATAAAATTTCTAGAAGAGACTCTCCAAGAATATTACTATAACCTACAATTACAAAAATGATTTTGTAAGACATAAAAAGCATACATCCTTTTAAAAAGAAAAAAAAGATAAAGAGCAGACTCAGAAGACAAACGCATCATATTTAATTAACAAAGAACTAGTATCCACAGTGTAGAAAGCATTTCTGCAAATCAGTAAGCATAAGACAAGCAACTCAAGGGAAGAATAGGCAATAGGCAGTTCCCAGAAAAAAAGAAAGCTCCAAACAGCCGTAAACCATATGAAAAGATATTCAAACCAAAACAGTATTCAGAGAAATGCAAATTTAAACTACAGTGAGATATTATTTCACACTGGCCAAATACTATTATCTGTTACCAAATGTCAGAGAAAATACAGTGAAATATGAAACCTTTTACATTGCTGGAGGAATTATAAACTGATATAGCCACTCTGAAAAACAATTTGGCAATACCTGGTAAAGATGAAAGCACTCATTACTCCATGACATGAAAATTTCATTCCTAAGTGAATATCCTTTTAAAACTCTTA